TCTTTTCTTTTTCCTCCAACCACTGCTGTAATCTCTCTTCTTGTTTATTTTCTGGTTCTACTTGTTTCTTTTCTTTTTCCTCCAACCACTGCTGTAATCTCTCTTCTTGTTTATTTCTCGTTCTTCTTGTTTCTTTTCTTTTTCCTCCTAACTAACTGCTGTAATTTCTCTTCTTGTTTATTTTCTGGTTCTACTTGTTTCTTTTCTTTTTCCTCCAACCACTGCTGTAATCTCTCTTCTTGTTTAATTTCTTGTTCCTCTTGTTTCTTTTGCTACTTTTGTATTGCTGCCATCAAGTCTGCTAAGCTGTAGTTTGATTTGCCGCTTCTCGTTTCCATTTTTTATCCCACTTCTGACACCAATTTGTTACGCCTCTAGTCGTTAATTGATTTTCCGTAACTTCGTTCCGACGAAACTTTAGCGACACAAGTCCTTTCAACAAAATGAAATGGTAAATATTGTACTTCAGGGACTGCACAGTGGTAATTCACCCCTATACACTCCCTGAATTCAACACTGGTTACACAAGTTTGTTATTATAGCTTTATATTCAATGACATGACAACAAAATGAAACCAAACCAATTATGTAGTTAAAAAATATTGTTGCGTCAGCGAGGTCACGTGACTAGTATCACGCCACCTGTTTCTAGAAATATCCTGTTCCTTCATGAATGCCCTAGCATTTACTAGATATGTGTTAGTCTTGTATATATATATAAGATGGTCACAACGTGACGGGACAACAGAGGTAATGAGTAATTGAACTGCAGTCAGAGAGAATATTGTTAATCACGTGAGAATTATAGCGTTTGTTACAGAGCGACTGTTGAAATTTACGTGTATCGTAAAGTTGTATTCGGAAAGAATAAACCAGTTTTATTTAAGAAAGGACTTGTGTCGCTAAAGTTTCGTCGGAACGAATTTACGGAAAATTAACTAACGACTGGAGGGGTAACAATATATTTTTTCCTAGATAGTTTAAAGAAAGATTAATAATATATTGTAGATTTTAATTTGAAAAAGAATGACTCACCAACATATTTTTATTCTACATGATAACCACCTTTTACAGCAGATTTTTCCTAAAAAGTCCACATTCATATAATATATATAATTCTCATGATATGTAAATATATACTTTTTTACCATTATTTTCATCTCACAAAATATTGTTTGATTCATAAAAAAACTTGTTTAGTCATTCAGTAAAGTCATTTATGATATTATCAACTGTGACTCTGGAGAAAGAATTCATCTCAAGCCTGTAAATCTTCCAAGTGAAGATAGCCTTTGTTGCATTCAGCAGATGTCCTCTTCTTGGACAGGCCTTGTTATTCTAGCTGAAATATGAAATTTACAATAGAAAATGTGGGTTTTTATGAACTTGGAAATATAATCATAAATTGTGTAAAAAAATTAAGTTCTACCTAACATACAGATCCATAGTAAAGAGATAATACAGAAATAGCAAAACTCATTTATGCACAATTATTTACCCATTTATCAACATTTATTTAGATGGATGTCATATAAAAAGCTTGTGAATATGAATAAGTATACAAATTAATAACTTTTCCAAGGAAAGTTTTATACCATATTAATATGATCTCAGTATATTATGAACTTTACCTTTGCTTCTGCCAGAAGCAAAGGTAAAGCTCTGATAGCAGTTTTGGAATGGTTTCTTCATACTTGATTCTATTGGGATGGCTCCACTGCAATTCAGCATCTGTTCATGTAACATTTTTCTTTATCTAAATCAGTAGTGCAGCCATATAATGGCACTTATCCTTTCCAACTGGGCATGCACATGCTGCAATTTTCACAATCTGGTTTACAACTTGCACCTTTAAGAGACATAAATGGAAAAGCTTGAAGTATGTCCATACAAAATATCTTGATGTTAATTTCACTATGATCACTTCAGTTTTCATACATTAATATGACATCTGACCAGTGAAAAATGGCCAGAATATGAATTCACAGCAATGCACTGTTCTGGATACACACACACATACATTCAAGGTCCTTTATCTTTGTTATTAAACAATGAATATTTGACAGCTGTTCACTACTATGATTTAGATTACTAGACATCAAAATTAAAGTTTGGATTAATTACAATCTGATTTTCTTGAAACTTATTAGGCCCAAATAGTAACTACTGTTTAACTTCATTTTCTTTATATTAAGTCTCACAAAATTTACTTTTCTTTCTCCTATGTTTAGCATCCAAACTAAAAATTTACACACTAGATTACCCCTGCCAGTACTTCTGTGATTAGCATCTCAGCTCTACTGCGTATAAACTATAATAATGTTAAGTGTTCTTGATTTGTCATTACAACAACTTGTCTCCATGATAATTTGAAAACTATGCAAAATATGATTTATTTCAATATTTGTACTTGCATGGTGACAAACTGTGTAAAGTTAAATGGTGAATTACAAAAATGAATATATTTTTATGAGGTAGGGCTGAAATGCTAATCACAGAACTACTAGTGGTAGGGTTAACATTAGGTATTGTTACAACAGCGGAAGTCACGTGACGCTAAAACACATCATGAGATTCTCGAAGGATTCTGAATCGTCCTGGCAACTCTAGTCTTTTACAGGTGACCTCTATTTTAGTATATAAGCTCAGCAAATAAATGCAGATAGACAGAGAGATTGAACAGATAGAGACAGATAATTGAGTCAAGCGAGCAGTAGTACCAGTAATATAAAGTGTGTGTTTTGTTATTGAGATTGCAAACGTATTGACTGTGGAAATTCTGTGTATTATAAAGTTGTATCGAGAAAGAATAAACTAGTTTTAATTAAGAAAGGACTTGTATCGCTTAAGTTTCTCGGAAAGAATTTCTACGGAAAATTAACAAACAAGCAGATACCCAACAAATTTGTGTCAGAGAGTGGGACGGAAAAAAGAAGATGGAAGCCAGAGGTGGCAAATCAAAGTACAGCTTCGCAGATTTGATGGTAGCAATACAAGAACAGCAAAAAAACAAGAAGAACAAGAAAAGAAACAAGAATAGAGATTACAGCAGTTGTTGGAGGAAAAAGAAAAGAAACAAGAAGAGAAATTACAGCAGTTATTGGAGGAAAAAAGAAAAGAAACAAGAAGAGAGACAACAGCAGTGGCAAGAAAACTTGCAACAGTGGCAGCTCGAACAGCAGAATAAACACGAGAGACTACAGCAGTTGTTGGAGGAGAAAGAAAATAAACAGAAACAAGAAGAGAAATTACAGCAGTTGTTGGAGGAAAAAAGAAAAGAAACAAGAAGAGAGACAAC